AAGGAAAAGACCAAAGAAAGCACATGATATTGCCTTGTAGCCCTGGGGGTCCCAGATCACTATCTGCAAGGAGTTTGCATGTTCTCCGTGTGCTTGCGTAGGTTTCTTCCAGGTATTCCGCTTTCCTCCTACACTCCAAAGACATGCTGGAAGGTTAATTGGCTCCTGTCTAAATTGGCCCTTGTATGTATTTATGTGAAGTAGAGACCTTAGATTGTAAGCTCCTTCAAGGTAGGGACTGATGTGAATGTGCACTGTGTAAAGCACTGCGTAAATTGTTGGCGCTAAATAAATACCTGTAATAAATAAAATGTGTTCAGATTCCAGCCTGGGATAGACTTGCAAGGTCTGTATACAGGATGTACCCTCAGCCTCTTGTTCAGTGTAGCAAGCAGTGCTCCGTGAATGTGTCTCCATCTTTATATATGGTTACTAGTTACAGGCATAGTTTTCCTTTTTTGTAAAAAAATAATAATAATAATGCATCCGCATTGATAAAATAAAAAAGTGCATTCATTATAATTTGGCATTGAAACCTGCAGAGCATTGCAGAGCATTGCAAGTACAATCAGTGAGTCACAGGTTTATTGCTCATGCTTCTACATTGTTTACATCCCAAACCCATTTCCATATGGCGGTACAGACCTTCTGTTATGGGGTGGAGGAAGTAATCCATGGACACATGGGGTGAGGTCAGTATAAAGATAGAAGTACTTATGTTGAAATTATAGTTCTGCTTTATTTATGGCACACTTGCACTCTTTTGTAGGTCTAGCTTTTCAGGTCGTGTAGATGTCATTGCTGACAAGCATTATGTTGAGTTTTTCACCTTTAGCACAGTATGCAGTTTTTTTGGAAGAACGTCTCTCTATTACAACACATTAAGTCCGGTGAAAAGCAATGTTTTCTGAGCAGTTTATCACAAACTTTCCAAACAGCACTGAACTTTGAGTATGGAAACGTTCTGCTCTTTGCCTTCCTTCATTCATTCTTATAGAGACACATTCATTGGTACAAAAGCTGGAAGTACTCATGCATATGTGGAAGCACATGTATCTTTGCCCACACATTGGATCCCACCTAATCCTGAGAAATATGTGAGAGAGCGCACCAGAGCCTCCATTTACCTTAATAATGTAGACACATTTCAGGGTTCTTCCATTTAGCTTCATCTTTCATTAAAAGAAATATGTGAGCTGCTACAGATGGTTTCCTTTTGACGTGATAGTTGCATCGCTGTGTGTGACTAAAATAGTTCTGAGTCACTGACCTGAAACAAGCATGAAGCAATAGAAAAAAACACATTGGAACATTTTTTTCTTTATATTTGTTCTGGCTTATCGACCCACAAAGTATTGAAACTGAAGCAGGGAACTGTCATTTTCCTTAGAAGAGGTTTTTTTAAACTGTACTGAGAAAAATATATAAGCTGACACTGCTGACTTCTTAAAACCTTCAGAAGCTTTGCTTTCCAACTTCAGTATTTTTTATTTCATAACATTCAGAATTCCTTTTTTTTTTCTGTCTTTGTTACTCAGACAGTATTGAAGCCAAAGCACTAGCATGACATTCAGGAAAGTGGATTTATAAATATCTATTTAAACTGCCCTGAAAAGTGATGCTGAAGGTCACATGATTGTGAACCTAGGCTACCTAATATCTCAGGGAACCTGCCAGAGGCAGGACCTTTGACATCATCACACTGACCAGAAAACTCTTGAAAAAAAGACCAGTGTTCCCACTGTCAGCCATAACCCAACACAGGCCCTCTTCTGCTTCAGACATTGCTTGCTAGGACCACAACCATATTCCTGTGCTTCATTTCTGTGTTGGAGGTACAGGGAAACTTCAGGAGTCTAAGAGCCCTGATATTTACAGAAAGAGAACCTATTGCCTTCAAATACTATCACATACGGGCTTGTTAGCCCCTTTGTGATAGCAAAAGTTAAGTGGAAAGAAAATATGAAAAAAACCTAGATAAGTAAGAAATAATCAAATAAAAATGTGATAAGTAAAATATAATAAAATAAAAAAGGTGATAAAAAGTATAAAAATAAATAAAAAGTAAAAAATAATTAAAACATTTAAACCAACCCGGCCATCCCCGCCATCTGATTCGAATGAACACGTGCACATAAGACATGCACTTGTATGTAAAGGGGAGGGGGAAGTACTAAAAAAAAGCAAAAAGTGCGATCAGTGCATCAGCACTGTGTCTGGGAATACACACCAGCAACTGTGCGTTGCAGTGCAGCCGCTGGTGTGAATGCAGCCTAAATGGCAGACCATGGTACGGACACCGTCTGAGTGACCGTTTTGTCCGGCATGTAAGTCAGACCTCCTTGTATTTCAACTCGCTACCCCACTTTTGCAGCCAAATTGGGATAACACCTACCTTATATTTGTTACATGTTTCTCATTCACATAGCATACCTTAAAAATTGTATGTTAATGAGTGGGAGATCAGCCTGTCCCTAGTCTTTCTGGTGGTGGCAGTCAGACCATATACATCACTTCCTGATCTATAGAGTCGACGCGTGACAGTTTCAATGTCGTGTGTCGGTTCTAACTATGAGGATGAGTGGAAATCACTCACCTAATAGTTCTGCTTTTAAGTGTATAAGGAAAGGGAAGACATGAGTAGAAAAGTTGAAAAAGACACAGTGGAACTCCAAAGGGGGGAAAAAAATTAGGGTAATCTGCTACAAGGAAGTAAAACTTTCAGAAGAGAGGCACGGGTATATTATATCCATGGGGTCCATTCTTTGAAAATGATCTTGAGAGTATCAAAAAGAATAGTAAAAAAGTTTTTCATTGATAAAGAATGAATCTATGGGGGGCCTAACCTCTATGAAAGGTATAACCTGCTTCTTTCAAGCTTTAGCGATTGTCTGTTTTGCCACTGGTAAGTAAGTAAGCAGCCAGTTTAAATTGAACGATAGTGAGGAATACAGGCTTAGGGTGCAGGAGCACAAGACAAGGGCCTCTTGGAGAGGGGTATGAAAGAGAGTTTGCAAACAGTTTAAATATTTTGGAACAAAATCTTTTTGACATTTGGCATGACCACCATGTATGTAGCATATCACCAGTGACATTACAGCCTCTGAAATACATTGCAGAGAGTGCGCCACTCTGAATGGGACCATATACCAGTGAGTGAGAACCTTTAAAAGCAGACTCAACGGAAGTTATATTAATAGAGCAGGTTGCCACAGTAGATCACATTGTTGCCAGCCTTCAGCAGTTTTGGTGCTTTTAAGGTCCTGCTTCTATTGAGAAGCATAAGCATGTTTCGTGCTTTTGGGTAAGCAATTGAGTTAGGAATAAATAATAGAAATCTGTTTGTGCGAGAAAGTCGTGTGATAAATGTAAACCATGTTTTTGGTGAAGGCACGATAAGCTAAAACATGGAGTGTGTTGTGTGCTAAACATTTATTATTATTATTACCAGATTATCAGATAACTAGTGGTGTCACAAGGGGGGTGTGGGGGGTGCGACCCGCACCCGGGTGACACCATTGGAGGTGTGATACCAAAGTGACTGACAGTCATTTTGGTGTCACCCCCTCTAAAAAGTCGGGCACTCGGTCATGGACCGACAGTGTCAGGAGAGAGGAGGGGACCTGGTGGCATACCTCACCATGCTGGGTGAACGTCCCCTCCTCTCTCTACCGGCATCCATCACCAAGATGGCTGCCGGCAGGCGTCAATGAGATCACTGCGCGGTGACATCACGGAGGGGTTTCACCCGGTCTCCGTTCCGGGTGACACCTGGCCTCAGGATGCCCCTGCAGATAACATATTAAAAGCCATTTATGCCCAATCCAGAGACAGTCCCCATTCATGTTGTGCCTTTCGGGTGCGAACATGTTCATTTTAGGTGTGCTGCTATCAACCCCGACCGACCCTGTCGCCCTGAAAACCAACCTACCAAAAAATTCTTACACTTGGCTTACATCTGCTGTTATGGTTATGTAAGAGTTTCCATTATCCAGGAATAGATAATAATTCAGGAGACTGTATTAAAAAACAACAATTACAAATGACACTACTTTGTGAATTTTTACACGTGTGCTTTTTAATACATTAAAACAGTAATTTGAGACTACGTTAGAATGTGTGACCAGTGAAGTGGTCACACATTTAAACGTAATCTCGCCCAGTTTTTCGGCGGTGGAATAGGTGAAGAATTCCAACGCTTTCTCCGCTGTTCCAGGGCAGATCGGCATCGCAAATCGCATGTGCAGGAGAACCGATCTGCCCTGGAACAGCTGATCGGTCCTGAAATGTCACTTCTATCCGACTTTGTGAGTGCGATGGAATGTGAGATCGCAGTCGGAGAGTCTCAGGTGGGCTATGCAGGATCTATGGTGTGCTCTGCAGGGTCTCAGGTAAGTCCAGCACGCCACTGCAACATTAGAGACCGCTGGGGGGGGTGCGGGGGCCAGTGTGATCCGCTCCTGCCCCCCCTCCCCATCTTGGGAGGGGGGCCCAAGATAAAATCTTGCACCAGGGCCCTTTGGTTATTAGGTCCGCCACTGCGTCAAAGCATCAACCTAACTGCCAGGCAACTAAAATTAGAAATAGTAGCCTTTAGTTTCCTTTAATTTAATGCTTAACCCCTTCATGACTGAGGCCTTTTTTTCATTTTTTTGTACCCATGTTATATTCCACATTTTATGGGGGGGGCAGCCCCTTCTTCGGGACGCAGAAGCGATCTGGCGACAGGTAAGTCGCCAGGATCGCTTCTGTTGTAAAGCCGACAGTCGGCTCTACAAGTTTAAACAGAGTCCCGGTGTGAAAAGTCACCGGGAGTCTGTTTAAACAGCCCCAATGCTGGCGACGTACACTGTACGTCGTCAGTCACGAAGGGGTTAAAGAGAAATATGGGGGCTGCAGTTGCTGACATTCTGAAATGCTAATTGCTTGGCAGTCTCTGGTTTGAGGGCCCATTCTCAGCATATGCGTCTGCTCTGTGCTGTCTGGTTTTTCCACCACAGGCCGAGCACAAGACAAGGCAATTTGCCTTGTCACAGGTGGGCAGAGTGCACACCACCAGCAGTAACTTTAATGATAAACACTTTTTTCCTTGTGGTAATATTTTGGTTTTATTTTGCAGAGCTCCAATGGATCAGCCCCCTTTCAGCCAGGGAAGTCCTGATTATGAAGCATCGCTGGCACAGAGCATATCTGGGAGTAGTGCAGCAAACTACTCCAATGATTCATTTGAATCCAGTACAGATGAACCTATCTGGAATTATGAAAGTGATTCATTTGAATCTGATGAACCTGATCCGAGCTATGAAAGTGCTACATTTGAATCGTTCTCACAAGTGAACTCTCATGAAGTTTCATTTTCTGAAACCACCAGCATTACATCAGAAGCAGTTGAGGTCTCGGACAGGAATGATACAGGTAATTTGAAGCTTCAGTAAGTGAAGGTTGCTCCAACTCTAGTTTTGATATTTAACAAATCCAACTTTGCTTCCTTGGTATTCTAAATTACCCCCTTCCACTAAAAATCACATCAGCGTCCAGCTCTTACATTCATTTAGTTAAATAAACACATTTTCTTTTACTTACAGTTACTGTTTTTACACTTCCTGGTCCTCTTAGACATTAGTGATGTAGCCCATGCTCCCACATTGCTGGGAAATCTCATCTGTAAAATGCAAAATCTTGCAAGATCTTAGAGAAATGCAATTTCCTCCCCCGAGATGATGTACATGGTCGCATACCCTAGTCGCATTTCCCAGAGTTCCAGGAAATAAAGGGAGATGGATTAATCTGGCCTTAGTAAAAATGGCCACTGTGAGAAGAATGGGAAGGAAAAGAAAAATAATGTCTGCACAAAAAGTCTTCAATATTATATAAGTATCTGTTTGTAGATTGCCATCATTAAAATTGTCAGGGGGGGGGGGGTTTAGTGGTTGAGGCTGCAATCTAGGCAGCAATGCGCCCTGGCCGGCTGCCTAGTTTGCCTCGTGGCAGCACCGGCCCTGGCAATGAGTCACTGAGGGGAATTTATCAAAACTGGAGCAGATAAAATCAGGAGCAGTTGTGCATGGTAACCAATCAGCATCCACCTTTCATTTTCAAAGCTTAACTGAATAAACTGAAGAGAGAAACTGATTCGTTGCCATTGGCAACTGCTCCAGATTCTTCTGCTCCAGTTTGGATAAATTCGCTCCACCGACTCAGAAAAGCATGCTGCTCTGGAAAGTCAGATGCTCGCTGCTCTGGAGTAGTAAGCAGCTGCAAGGCATGTGCGTGTGTAATTGTGTGTGTGTGTGCATTGTGATTAGAAGTCCTGAATCTACTAGCAACTTAATATGTAATGTTTCTGAGTCTAGTGATAAATGACATAATGTAGTGAATGTATGAGTGGAGTGCCCATATGGGTCTGCCAGTTTGATTGCCTCACAAAATAAGATCACATATCCAAATGCATAACTATATGTCCTTGTGGACTTTTGTAGAGAATGACTTCATTGAGAAATGGATAACAAAACTTGCAAAAAGGAAGCTTCAGTCAGCAAATTCTTCAAGACCTCAGCTCAGCTCAGGTGGGTAAAACCTTCACTGCGGGAGCCCTGCAGTTGAACATCTGTATGCATTTGTGTTGATACCACAGGAGGAATCTACTGCAGATTAAAGACATGATTCAAAATGGACTTTAAAGCCAAGGGCTTCACGTTAAGAATGTTGGCAGCAAGCACAGGACAAGCGCTAACCTATTCTACTATATCAAATATATGTAGATTTGTTTTACACATTACAGGAAGGTCATCATTTGGGTTCTGTTCAGTAGTTAAAGGAAAAAAGAAAAGCTTTAATATATGTAAATATGATGAACATGAATAGTTCAGTGTTCTTTGTAAAATGCTGCTGAGTGTCTTTGTGTTATAGCATTGCATAATATAAAAAGCTATTATATAGCAAGCAGGGAGCTTAACCTTTTCTGAATACATTTTAATTGCTGCACTGTGTATGAGATATATGAAGGTACCTTTTGTGGGTATAATTCATTGTATTTTATATAACGTAGTATTTATATGCTGCATATATTTTATATACTGAGAGAAGAGTATTCTCCTATATAGCAGTGATGCATTATAATACAGTTTAGAAAGTACTTTTAGGTATTTAATAGGCTGCGAAAATTAACGATTAATTCCTCGATCAATCGTTAATTTTTTTGATTGATGAAACTTTTTTTGATCGGTACTCGCCTCTCCACCGGCTTCCGGGGAGGAGACCGGTGACGTCGATGTCCGTGACGGCTAACGAAGGGAAGGGGGAGGAGTCCGGTGACTATGTCCGTGACGTCACCGGACTCCTCCCCCCTTCCCTTCGTTAGCCGACGGAGCATGGACGGGCAGAGCAGGTGCGGGCACGGGAAATGACTCACCGAGAACAGACTCCACTACACGTCACTGCTGCATACTCTGTGAATACCAGGTAATGACAACATTATTCATTACATGACACGATGTAGCACCTTTTAATGTGAGTGTCTTTAATCTTGTATTTTATTAAAATGTTATTGCATATTCCACTATTGGATCTGTTTTGTTGTATTCCTTTATCTGAGCCACATCCACATTACCCCTAGGAACAAGCTTCAGGTTTTTTTTTTTAAATACCTGGAAAGCCAGTCAAATTATTGAAGAGGATTACTGAGGAGATCGGGAGGTGGGAATTTAAATGTGCTTTTGACCATTATTTATATATATATAGATATCTAGATATCTATATAGATAGATAGATCGATCAGGGGTGTGGAAATTTTTTTAAAAACTACTTGTCCAAGGACTAAAGTGGGGGCCGAATCTACTTGTCCCTCATGACAATCTACTTGTCCTGATACAAAAAAAAATATTTTAACCAAGCCGTATTTAGCAGTGCTAAGAAGCGCTTCTCATTGGTCAGTGCCGTCAGGTGACCGCGTTGACCAACAAGTGCTTGCAATTTGCGAGTGAAATTCAGAATATACTGAACGGGTACAGATAGTACACCCGTACTGGTGGACGTGAAGGACCGTTCGCCGAAGTATAGTGGGAGGGAGATTTGTGCGGGTAATTCAATTTTCCCAAATTACTTGGGAAAGAGAATTTACCCTGTAGGGTTGGTGCAGACTTGGGGATTCCCGGGACGTGTGATCGTGTGCGGTTGCATACAGCGGTTGCATCTGCATGTATGGGGTTACATCTGCATGACAATCGCTGAAAAAAGGTAGCTGTACCTATTTTCACGACATGCACCGCGCAGTGTTTTCAACTCTGATTGTGTGGGATTGCCTGGGCGGTATTGCGGCAGGTAAATGCGCAATCTGCCTGGCACGACTGGGGTGCCATTAGAAAATAATGGCACTGACAGCACGATCGGCGGTGGTGTGCGATTCCGTGACCACCCAGCCATCTGCTCGGTTTCGTGCACGATGACCGGGCAGTCGCGGATGGTTTGGCAGTGGGGCTGGTTTTCATTTTTTCAATTTTTATTTACTTTGTAAAAAAATGTCATTTGTTTTATTATTTTTACTATATCATTTTATCACCTTTTTTATTTTTTACATTTTTATTTAGTTACGTTTTTAATTATTATTTTTTATTTTTTTTAACTATTTTTTTTTTAAACTTTATTGCTATCACACGGGGTGGCGCTCATTTTAAGAAAAGAAAACCAGCCCTGCTACTTGTCAGTTGCAGGGCTAAAACAGTGAAAAAAGCACTTGCCCGGCACCCGGAACTACATGTCCCGGGCGTCGGGCGATACGAATTCCCCACCCCTGTAGATATATGTATCTATCTATATATATTAGGGCTGCGGAAATTAACAATTCATTTCTCGATTAATCGTTAAACTTTTAGATGGATTCAAATAATTTTGATCAAAAATGAAAACACTCACCTCTCCGCCAGCTTCCGGGAGTCCCGTCAGAGATCCGGTGACGTCACACATATCGACGTCACCGGACTCCTCCCCCCTTCCCTAAGTGGCTCTGTCGGCTAAAGAAGGGAAGAGGAGTCCGGTGACGTCGATGTCCGTGACGGCTAACGAAGGGAAGGGGGGAGGAGTCCGGTGACGCCGATTTCCGTGACGGCTAACGAAGGGAAGGGGGAGGAGTCCGGTGATGTCGATGTCCGGGACGGCTAACGAAGGGAAGGGGGGAGGAGTCCGGTGACGCCGATTTCCGTGACGGTTAACGAAGGGAAGGGGGTGGAGTCCGGTGATGTCGATGTCCGTGATGTCACCGGACTCCTCCCCCTTCCCTTCGTTAGCCGACGGAACCACTTGGGCCGGTGATTACTTGTTCTGCACGGGCACCAACAAAGGCATTGGCCTATACACATACAGCACAGCAATGAAGTAATAAAATGAACTAGGATTGCGCTAATCCAGCACGTTATTATTCTGAGTTGCCCCAGTCAAGTGGCGGCCATATTGAGTGAGATTAATAACGTGCTGGATTAGTGTGATCCTAGTTCATTTTATTACTTCATTGCTGTGCTGTATGTGTATAGGCCAATGTAGTTGGATCTGTATGTGCGTTAAAATTAATCGATTAAAAAAACTTTGATCGGACACGAAAATGTTAATCATTACCAGCCCTAGTATTAAACTTTTTTTGACCCCCCTACTTTCACCCAGAACTTTCAGTATATGTTATTCTTGCCTACAAACTCTTTGTTTCGAGAGCTTCAGTGCACAGCCTGCCCAGTGCTACAAAGCCTCTGGCAAGGGTCTTCTGAGATCTTCCAAGTTGTATCCCCCATCTGTGCTGTGGCCTCTATTCACTTAAATGGAAAACCAGTCTGTCAGTCTTGTTTAAAACCAGTGCTATCAATCACTTTGAACTTGGTATATGTTGCCATTGCATACTTTTTTATATTTCGTTATGCTGAAATTGACTTCTAGCTAGCAACACCTGTCCTAGCCACGTCTTCCTGTAGGCCTTTGTTCTCTGAAAACTGCTGCAGAAAAATAACGTGCAATATAAGTGAGTAAATTATTTCTCCATATACTTATGAGGCACAAATAGACATATGTGTATATGTACAGTGTATGGTCTGTGTATATTCGTGGGCATCATTGCTTCCCATGCACTTAAACTATTTTGTTTCAGATATAAATTGGAGCTAAATCAATTACACGAGTAATCTTCCATTTTAAAGTGTATTAAGCATGTGTTTATTTTAGGTTTTCCTGGTGCTTTCACAGTCGTCCCTTGGGGTTTTGTCTTATTGTTTTATGCACTTCGATGCACAGCCTTGATTACCACTTAATTGTTTTTTCATAAAAATGGAGATGATCTTGGTTAATACATTCAGCTACATAATTATAGCAGTGTTCTAAAAGAGGAATGAAACTAGGTACATTAGGGCATTCATGTTAATATAATAGGACAGCATTATTACTTTACCCGTTAAAAGGTTGAAAAGATGCAGTGATTGCTCATGCAGTGATACAAGGATTTTGCTGTTACAAGCATTGTTTAGACTCTGATACAAGATGCTTTCTGCGACTGTTCCCATTTAAAGGGCGTCTGTCACTTTTCAGACTTTGTAACCTCCTTGGTCAAAAATTATATGTACAGTATGCTTATCTGGCTTTTTTTATAGTCGATTTTATTGAGTCTTTTAATATGGTTTCTATAATTTTTATGTATTTTTTTAAGGGGGGCTAAATATGTAATATTTTTGCAAGAACTCTAAGTTTCCTTCAACATTTTAAGCAGATTACGCTAAATTAGCATATGGTTTACAGAATTGAATAGCTAAGGCTCCATAGCGTTTCAATAAAAGAGAGACCATCTCAAAGGAAAAAGTATGATGTGTACCACCACTGTCCAAAGCCCCCTGGCCGAAGCTCCGCCCCCTGCTGGCCAAATCCCCGCCCCCAACCCGTCCGCAAGCTAGTGTAAAGGTGACAGGGAGGAGCCTCACTTGCTCCTCACTGCTGAGGCGCTCTGTCCATGACAGGTTACACAGCGGGGAGGATTTCCCTGCTGTGTAACCTGTTAGATGCCGATCTGAATGGAGAAAAAGCTGTCAGCTTCAGAAATTAAGCTGACAGCTTTTTCCTCCATAATTCTAGGTGAGGCTCTGCCTCCCCTGACCGAACGTCCCTGATAGGTGCACACTCTGTTAAATGTTTATTTAGAGAATAAACGTTGTATCTTAGGAACAAAGAATATATCATTTTATAACATTTTATGCTTGAAAAACATATAACATCGACCCAACACATTTATAGTTGACCTTTAAAGGAAGTTCATTGTCGGTATAATTACATTTTGTAACTTTATAACTAGTGCTATTAAGCTTGCTAATTAGTAGGGATGCATCGATACCAAGTACTGTACTCGGTACAAGTACAGATACTTTTCCAGCTCCAAGACTAGACTAGAGAAAAATGCAAAAGTTAGGAGGCAGCTGTCATTTGTAAGGAGCAGACGGAGCTCCTGGGATTTGTACATCTCTGTTTTAATGTACGATTTTGTTTTTATAAATATATATAAGGGATGCCCCGATACTATTTTTTTGTTTGTCATGTGACAATTTTCCTAAAAGAATATCGACTAAAGATTTCATGACAGTGGTGGAGCATCAGAGCCCGGTCCTAGCTGCAACCCTGGTAGTTCTCATGAGAATGGCAAATATCAGCACTGGTATCTGAACTGGTATCAGTGCATCCCTACTAATTAGCACTAGCATTTTGAGAACATATATTTTTTACATATAAAATGGTTTTATTTTATTTATTTATTTTTTCCATTCTTTTGTTGGGCTTCCTTTGGCCAGTTGTACATTTGTTATAGCTCAGCTCCTGATGACACATCTGAAAGTCTTTGCTGTATAGATTTTTTTATTTTTTTTACTTCTCATCTTCCTCCCACGGTTTTTTTAGCTCTTCATATTGTACTGGACATCCACTTCTCTGGAGATTGTGGAAGTAATATAAATCTGGCCACCAACAAATAGTTCTTCCATCTGCTGCCACAAAATATTCAAGCATCTTTGCCAAAAGTTCTGCATATTATATGTTATCTTTTACACAAAAAGGGAATGAATAAAGTGACCACAAGCTATAAACTTCACAACTGTCCTGGTACTTTTGCAATGTTAAACACCTTTAGTGCCAGAGCAATTTTTTCATTTTTCACACACATTAAAATCTGAATTTTTGGATAGAAACATTACTTTAAACCCCCCAAACAATTATATGTTTTATGAAAGCAGAGGCCCTGTACCATAAAGAAAATGGTAGTTGTGGATTTTTTTATGTTGCACGATATTTGCACAAGTGTTGATCAATTTGATATTTTTAGAAAAAAATACAAAATAGGTTTTAGTGCGCACAAACACAATATAATACACAATGTTTTTGAAAAATACAAAACATGTCAAACCTTAAAATTGCGCATAGTTGAAAAACTATGGTAATCAAAATTGTCCATAGGCGACGCTTTAAAAAGCCTTTACTGCTCATCAGTTTAGAGATAACCGTGAATAATAGCCTTAGAATTATTCCTTTCATTCTGACATTTGTGGCTTTACCTAACATGCATGGCACAGCCGCCATTTACGTACACTTGCATGCCCTATGCAGGATTGTGCTTGATAGTCTGTTTACCTGACCCTTTAGCTGGTCTTCTGACAGCTTTGAAACAGGAAGCGCTGATAGCCCTTACTGCTTCAGTGAGCAGAGGGCAGATTGGGGAATGGACTGTTCCTGCCCTCCATCCTGACAGCGTTTGCCATGGTTCCAGGCCCCCGGAGTGCCTGGAAACCAAGGTGGAAGGTGCAGCAGGGATGGGAGGGGCAGCAAACATAAAGGCCAGTACAATTGATCGTGCAGCTCTACAGCCACCCAGATAATTTATACTCATAAGCCCTCCACCTTCTTTAAAAAATGACACCAAGATCATGGCTGCAGCAGCCATGATCTTGATATGACCACTTAAAGATCAGGAAAGAAAGGTACGTCCTAGGGTCCTAAAGTTGTTAAACACATATAAAAAATGTAGATGTAAAAAAAATAATGTAACCTATCTTTTATATTGCTGGATTTCTGTTGTGTTCTGATAGTTCTGAAAATCAGTATCAGACACCCCTGCATCTCAGATGCATGGTATACTGGTGGCCACAATTTTTTAAGATAAGCTAGCCACCTCCCAGGGCTAAACCACCCCTAACTTTGTTATACAGGTCATTGGCGGGACCATTTTGGAGAGTAGAGGACATCAGATTGTGCTGTTGGAAAAGGAAAGGGATTATGTGCAAGTTGGGTAGATGTATAGCCTGCTCTTAGAGACTTCCTGTGTGTAAGAATAGTATAAAAATGTCTCTATCATCCCAATCTTCCAAGTTGACAACGTTTTCCATCATCGATTATAATCAACTCAGTCGATTAGTTGAAACCAAAGCGTTGAAAGACAAAGAAATTTCAGCTTGTTATTATGACTATGTAATAGATCCAGGATACTCATCTCTCTGGCGTCTCGGACACGGAGGGTGATTCCGCCCATAGTCCGCCAACATCATGTCGCTTCGCCCCCTTTTTGGCTTAGGCCGCAAAGTTTCACTTGTCCTGCGTTCCTGCAATGGACAAGGACGCCGGACAAGTTCTGAGCAGCCCTGCTCTCTATCCTGCCTCTTAATAGGCTCTATAGCCTCCACCCTAAAGCCCCCAGTACTGCTGTCTACTTGAGACTGCTGGGACTCCTGGTGCACCAACACTCAAGCCATTCACTGCTCCGCAGCTTCCATACACAATCAATCAGCACCAGTCTGGAGGATTCCCTGTAGCAGCCTGAGTACAACTAAACAGCAAGTATTAAGTGCCACAGCTGATGAAATGCACACAACCCTGAATGACTTTAAACTTGTGTTGTTAATCTGCTTGCCTCTGCTGCTACATGCTTTTTCAAGCTATTGCCATTACCTTGTGATGTGAGGATAACATCACAACAGTTTTGATACATAACTGCCTTCAATCCTGTCTTGGGAAATGAACATTGGAATGATGTCAGCAGTGAGAGGCATTCAGTATGATTAACTTATTATGTGATGCAAACATTACCTTTGATACAACCTTAGTTATAGAGACTGTCATTATCTTGAAGTAAAAGTTCTGTTGAAGAGACTTCCACAGCTGGGTTACATCATTGATCATAAGAGGTATTACAGACTATGCTTAAGGTTCGTAGATCTTCTACTTGTAATATTTATCACCGTACGTGGAAGGTTTATTTTTGTTGGTGTGAGTCTTTGGGATTTTCCCAATGTACTTTTTCCATATAGCAAATTTTGTCTTTTCTTCAACTTGGGGTACATCAATGCTTAGCTCTATAAGTACCATAAAGGGTCAGATATCTACCTTGTCCATCTTTTTTCAATGTCCTTGTGCTTATAATTCCTTGAATTTTTTATACATTTTTTCAGGGAATTCCACGTGTGACTCCTCCTGTTAGGTCTCCACTTCATTAAGGAAGCCTGGCGGCATGTAATGACTCACCACCCGGCTTCCCGATTAGCCGGGAAGCCGTCTCCATGCTCCCTCGTCACCAGGTGATGAGGAAGTATGGAGATGACTTTCTGGTCAATTAGGAAGCCGGGGGCGAGTAATGACTCTCCACCTGGTTTCCTGATTGGCCAGCTTCTCGACCAATCAGGAAGCCGGACAGCGAGTCATTTCATGCCTTCCTGATTAGCCGGGAAGCCGCCTCCATGCTTACTCGTCACTGAGTGACGAGGGAGCATGGAGCTGGCTTCCCGACCAATCAGGAAGCCAGGCAGCGTGTAATGACTCGCCGCCCCTCTTCCTGATACCGGAAGTTCCAGTTTAAGGATAGGCATCGGTACCAATACTCTGTATCGACACCAATACTGATACCAGTATCGTTATCGGTGCATCCCTACTTTTAATAAGCTATATGGTTAATTGATTTCATTTCCATGAAGTTTGTGTTATCTTTTCAGTTGCTCAGCCAAATTATGCAGAGACAGAGAATTCCTCTTTGATGTCTTATTGCTCCATGAAGATTCGGCATCTGCATCAACAGCCAACAATAACCCAAGAGAAAAAACAACATCCAGGACAGCAGGACCGGAGTCCAGCAGAAAGGCATCCTTCATGTTGCATCCCCAGTATGATAATTAACAGACTACAAATGCAGAGTTTCAAGGAAACCATGAAACAGGTATATAATGATTGTGCGGATTAAGTCAACATATTCCAAGGCTTTCTTTTGTTCTTTCCTGAAAGACAGAAGGGTGATGTACAGGTAACCCAAGTAAAGTGATCACTCCATGTCACTACAAACAAATGCATGTTTTCAAGTATGAGCAATCAGTTATTTAAATAGCACTACCGGAATACGTATTGTATGCAAGCATTTTACATTATTGCACACCATGTTTATAAAATGGAAAGAAATGGTCATGGTGTGTTTTAAAAAATCTTTTCATCTTAAAGTGACAAAGTCTAAATTTTCCCCCCAATGCTGCTTGAAGGACTTACCTGAAATGATGCCTCTTGATCCGATCATCATCTTCTTTCCAGTAGTTTTCAGGAGTCCCTCCAGCGCTGACCACTGCGTCCCACGGTGTCTGTGCGGGTGCACGCTGCTGGGCCGCGTGCATTGACTTACCTTGTGTGTCTCCTCTGCTCCCGGCCAAAGATCTCTACTGCGCATGCTCCCACCCCATGATCCTTTGCGGCTGCTTGAGGATCTTCGGACGAGAGCGTGCGGCTGAGAAACAGGTACGTTTTGACCTTTTAGCAAACCTGTCACATGGATAAAGCTATTTTAAGTGACCAAAAGCTGGCACATGCACCATTTTACTTTCCAAAGTTCCCTGGGAGCCCCTGATCCTGGGGAACTGTGTAAGCACTGGCAACTTTTATTGGGAATCCAAGAAGTGCACATTGTGCACTTTCTGACAGAAAGGTCTCTTGGCTACTTTGAGTTTTTCCTGTCACTTGAATAACCCTGCATTTTATGGATTTTATCCAATTGGTTCAGTACTCTTTTCTTTGGAGAGATGGCTTAAGAGGCAAGTTACTCTGTTCTGTTCTTTTTCTTTAGGTCATACAGTCTGAGATGCATGACCCATCTTTATGTCCAGATTGCATCCAAAAACAGGCAGAGCTGGCTCAAAGTCACTTTGTCAGGATGAGAAAGACTAAGCTGCAAGCTGATTTGATGAACCTGAAATTGGAGGAATACACATACAAAAACGTAAGATTATATTTGTGTAAATGTATGTATAGATTTCATAATGACCTTATGCCTGAAATACTTGAGCTTGAATGACATCCATCTCAATTGTTTATCCTTACAACTGGGTGAGTAAGGTCATAGACTGAACAAGAGTAAATCTAATATAGAGAGTGGGACTTATTGAATTTTTAGTGTGAGCTGTACATTAGTATAATGTGTCAGCGAAGATGACTGTTTGAAGGTTAAAAAGGGTGTGAGAATTATCGTAGTACATAAGGGTGCATTTACAGTTTGTAAACCTCTGAGTTAGTCTCTTGATATTAAAATCTGTCATTTACAGCTTGCATATTGCTGCTGTGCAATTCATCTCTTCTAAAGTTCTGTGAATTGTGTCCTTCGACACGCTAATGATGATCTCTAATTATCCCTACAGGACCTGCTGACTTACATTGGAGAAATTCACCAGTCCCTGCCCAAGCCCTCAGACGGTTGCAGTGCCATTTGGCAGAGACTATACACCAGTGTTAAGACATAACATGTAATCTGTGTCCTTTTTCTCTTCTTGATTTCTTTCAGGACAGTTTTGTTATATCGGCATTAGTGATGTAGTCTAGAATTTACTGACGTTCAATTAGTAGGAGTTTGATGGATGACCACAGAATTTATTCTGCTAACTTTCCTCATTTTGGAGGGGGGTCCAGTTGTGAACCACAGCTGACAACATATGGCATGCAGATGCAAAAAGCTCCTGTTGATCTTTTGAGGTTAAGGGGGGTCTGAAGATGATGGAACCACAGAATCCTTGAACTTTGGTTTGCAGGAGGCAGAACAATTTGACATTTTACTAACTGAAACTGTATATATCACAAAAAATATACATAACATTAATTGTTTTATAGTTTCTTCCTTGTCTTAACTAAAATTGAACCCGTGCTTTGCCATGCAGGGCAAGAACTTTCCATTTCATTGTAAATCTGGCGTAGTGATAATTTTTTGCATTACATTACTTTGTGACAAAGTTAATAAACCTGCGTGGTCATTTTTGGAAATAATTTAGTGAGTGGTACTGGCAGGCCGGTAGCCATGTAGTCAAGGAATGCCATGCTCCAGTAACAAAGTGACACTAAATGATAAAAGGGCACAGTAGAAGCTTTCCTTGTTAATAAAATGTCATAGAAGGTATCTTGTGGCTCTTAGGCAGAAATTTTAAAGTTTAAAATAGAGTACAGAATCACTCAATCATGACCTGCTTATTATGTGTGATGAAATGTACAGTATATCTTATTTATCAGAAGGGAATAACATACCATGGTTTTCAGAGCTCTTTAGGAGGTATTAAAGGTAACATGTACTGGGAAAATACAGAGGCTGAGATTCTAGAAAATACTTGCTGCCTAGTTGTTATGCTAAAATAAGTATAAAAACAGGTAGCTTTGACTTCATGTGGTGCATGCCTGTTTGAGGTCAGCCATTGATAAAGTCAGGGACAGCCAAGCAACTAATACTTTGAGAAGGAGTTTAGCAATGGTAGCCCCCAAATTTCTGCCCCAACAGGCGTCATTTCAAGTGTAACTAAAGCCAAAACCTTTTTACTTTTTGGATAAAGAAAGTAAAGATTCCAGTCTTTTTTATTGCCTATGTCCCATTGAGGAGAATGCTTTACCTTTTATGTCCTGTGGATATCGCTCCAAAATGAGGGGAAATCCCCTCAGGCAGCTGGCAGTGGAACAGTTATCCTCTTTAGCAGATTCCATCTAGGTGAGATCGAGTGACAACTGTGAGGTTTCGTACTACCTATCACGTTCTGTTTCAGTAGCCACCTCGAAAAATGGAAAGGGTAAATCTCTCTATCAGTGACACAAACAGCAATAAAAACGTGACAGAGGTCCTAACTTTTCAATACTCTATACAAACTTGAAATAAAAATTCTGACCAAAGATTTTAGTTTTAGTGTAGCTCATATTGATACCATTTTTTTTTAATTACAAAGACCAAAGCAACATAATCACATGAGTCATTTTGTTCTCTTTTATTTTCAAATCAATAATAAGATAAACTGAAGGTTATGTTCACAATGTCGCTTTCAGCAAACCTTACTGTGAAGAATTAAAGTATTAACATAATTACTCAGCGCTGTATTTATTGAAACTGTAATATTCTGACACTACAATGTCTAGAAATGACTGGCTGATTATTTTCTCGCTGACTTGTTAAAACATTCATGGTTAATAGCCCACTTTTTGTTTGATTTAGCATGTTTTGTTCATAGAAGTAAAGCCTACAGTTAAATACAGCCTTTAAAATGAAAGCTGGATAATACACTATTTATTAGACAAGTCATTTTTTTTTTTTAATTAGTTTGTTTCTGACATGTGTTGTAAAACACCTACACTCAGAATACATTCAAAAATCTTATAAACTGTTACTACTGTATCTATACATCCCACACAAAGTAGGCTCTGCTGCACTAGCGAGAGGCATTGTGACAAAAAGATACATAAAATGCAGGATTTAAAGGAGAACTATGAGGTGAGTGATCTCAGCCTAATAGTTCGAGTCGACGTGTGACAATGAAACTGTCACACGTCGGCTCAATAGATCGGGAAGTGAGCGAACACATACCGTCGCTCGCTCACTTCTCGATCATGTCCCTGCAGGGAGCCGTGGCTGTCACTCACGTCTCCCTGCAGGGATTCCCCCCTCTCCAGCGCTGACTGGCGGAACGGACGGGGCAGGGGGCGGGTACAGCTGGCTCTGCCTCTGGATAGGCAGAGCCAGCTGTCAATCACGCAGCTGGGTGGATCTCGACAGTAATGTCGGGATCCGTCCTGGCTGCGGCGGTCTCTATACCGCTGAGTTTTGGGTCACGGGAGGATGCTAGTTTGTGTCCTCCTGTGACCCTTAGGAGAACTAGGGGGAAAGACACTTACCCCATAGTTCTCCTTTAAGGAAACCTATCATGAGAAAAATATCAGGCTTACCATTGCTAAACCCATAAAATGCTAGTTGTCTGGCTATCTCTGCCTTCACCTGGAATAAACATGCAGCAAGTGAAGCAAGAGCTCATCTGATCTGATTCTTCTAGGTCAATGCTAAAGCATACATGTCAGAATTACTGCAAATACATATGCATTTTCACAAACACATAAGCAATCAGAGCCCAATATTTTTTTTTGTGATAGGTTTCTGTTCATTTTCTATGTGATTGCTGGCAAGTTCAACTACCTGCTGGCTTTTGGTATCTCTCAAAAAGGTTGCAGTGGTGAGCTATCACAATTCCATGTTCGGGCTGACTTCTGAGACCAATACAAAGAGAATTTATTGTGTAATGCTCCTTTATTAGATTCTTCATAGTGGTGATGAGGAGAGTGAGACCTTTGGGAGAGAGTGACCTTTGGTAAAGCCTTATGGGAGTCTCAGACACAACCTTTTTCAGAGAAATCTCCCCAATTATATTTCTGAGAGACATTTGAAGTCTATGGGCAATTAAACCCATGGATGATACCGGAAGTGAAAATGTTCATTTTGGTTGGAGCCGGTCTTTTACAAATGTAAATCCGTTTGTCTAAAAAATGCACCCAGCCTATGGCATTATATATGACACAGTCCAACATTGCGTTACAAAGTGCAGTAATCTTATGTAGTAACCTCTGACACATATGAAATTCATATATGTATGGGGGCACGAGTGTAAATGAAAAAAAGGCCTCAGTCATGAAGGGGTTAAACCAATTATAATATTAGTGTCTTCTCATCAGCATGTCATAGTAATATCTTTTTAGTGCAAAAAAAAATGGTGAAAGAAACAAAATTAGAGCTGGAACCTAACCCAGGAGATCTGTAGCACTTACTGTATGTAGAATACAATTGGAATTTTACCTTTTCATCAGTTTAAAGAGGACAGAACTATTAAATATGGTCTCTAGTTGGTTGTTGTACTCTTTTTCTAAAATAAACCTAGTTAATGCTGGTATTCAAGAGAACTATGCAAATTGTGCAGACATTTGCAAAGAGACTGCCAGGAACTGTGTCGTAGGCAGTAGTGTATTTTGGTTTTGTGCTGCTCTAGGCAAGCCTAAACTTGGGCACCCCCCAACTAAAATTTACTCACCCTCTCCCAGTTTAAGACACCCATCCAACTTCCAACAGGTTGTGCTATTAGCTCTTTGGTGGGCTGTGCAGGGTCTCACCAGGGTTCCGGATGGCCCTGTGGGTGGGTGCTGGCGGTATGGCTCCAGTGAAAGAAGGTGTGCGGCTAGCGTTGTAAGCAGCGCCGTGAGGCCCAAGTACTTATAAGTACTGATACATTTTTGTTTATTGTCATGTGACAGTTTTTCTAAAACAATATCGACTATAGATATCAGGACAGTGGTGGAGCGCCCGAGCCAGGTCACAGAGATCTCATGGGTGCAGGCAAAACAAGTGCATGCTCACCTTTTAAACAATTCAGCTCAAAAGACAGCCACCCACCACTGCATCTTTAATTATAAATCCAAAATGTATTGTAATCCAAAAGTGCATACCACAGACATGCTCCCCAAATTTTAAATTACAATAGCAGGCTGGCTATTAAAGACAAGCAATTAAAAACAACAAAAAGGCTAGAGCGCACTAACTGCTGGGTAAAAAACCTTATTAGGCTGTAAAAACGTGTGCTATAAAAACGTGAGTAAACAGGAATACAGTGTGCAGGCTCTGTCAAAAACAGGGAGGGGAACCCTGTGAGTACACAAATAAAATCACACAATGAGAAAGCGCCACTACTGTAAAGAAAACACTCAAGTAACGTGAGTTTTCTTTACAGTAGTGGCGCTTTCTCATTGTGTGATTTTATTTTAGGCTGGCTATTAAAGCCCTGCCCACTGAGCAGAACTGAGAGATAAAGTTGTTAACAAAATTTTTGCGATGGTTGTAAGGTGATTAAAATTTTGTACGACTTGCCCATCTTGGACAGGCAGATCGTACTTGCGACCATCGCAAGTCCTCCACGCTAAGGGGAGGGCTTACAGATGATTGCAATGGTGAGCGGGCAGTGTGCGCTTGCGCACCACGGCCTGTTCGGCTTTCGTCTTGCGATCGCGCTACCACACCGCCGAAAATCATATGGAAAATGCAGTCGAAAGCTGCCCATACACCTGACGATTATCGTACGATAATCGTCCGGTGTTTGCGCAGCTTAACACAGACCTGAAGTTACCCTGGACTTAAACTAGTTTTGCACATATGAGAGAAACCAAGGGGAAATCATCGATGGGTGATATACAGTATTTCCCCTTGGTTTCTCTCATATGTGGCTCATGTCACAATATGTATATAGATTTTTAGCCTTTTTTTTTCTTTACTTTTCCTTGGCAATCCTGCCAGTAACACACTTCCTTTCCTACATTGACAATGCTCACTATCTGCACAGTATCTGTGGAGGAGCAATGTTGTCACCCTAGGCTGCTTGTTTCCATTACATATAGGGGCATTGCTTAGTAGTTCACAGAGGGCCGCTGGGAAAGCAGAAAACATTGTTTTATATGCAGTGTGTCAGTTCAGTGTGCAGGAAGTTACAAGATAACTGGA